GGAAAAGAAAAGAAATATGAAGCCACGACGATAATGCCCCACCAACTTTCTTGTCTCTGTGGAGAGATTTCAGCGCCCGCGGGGAGCAGTGTGCTCGCCGGGCTGCAGCAGACCGGTGGCCCGGAACCGCCCTGCAGCGCACCGCGGCTTCCTCCCGGTTTGGCTCACTGGTGCCCGCCGCTATTCCTTCCTCTCATTGTTAGGCTATTGTTATAGGAAGCCAGGCACAAACGGAATTCCTGCTGGGACTCAGCTAGCAGAGCCCTCAGGCAGGAGCTGGACTGGTCCCCTTTCCAGGCCCACCTCACTCGGCAGGCCCTAGACCCCCTTTCTTCATAGCTCCAGTGTGTGCCTGCTCTGGGATCCCAGCCTGGGGGCCTCAGATGCTCTCCGGAAGGCTGAGCTCAGTCTTCTTGGGAGGTGCAACTGGACTGCTTCGTGGTGCACAGAGTGGGCCCAGTTATGAAATCCCACAGCTAGAGAAATAAATCCCCAGGCTTTAAATGACTTTACTTCGTTTTTCTTTTAATTCATGACTAAGCACACGTCTGTAAGTACTAGGGTCCTGAGGAATAGGGGCAGCTTAGCTTAGTGGAGCCCAGGGACCCCAGGGGGCCCAGAGGTGGGCTTCGGATCTAGACATCTCCTGTGTGGGTCGAGAGAGCTTGAGTAGTGCATTTCTCAGAGCCTCACGCCCTTTTCCTGCGCTGTGACGTGTTTCCATAATGCAGGGAAGGTTCGACAGCGGATCTGACAAGTAGGAGTTACATGAGAAACAGTAGCGACTCACCAGGAGAGGGTCTAGAAGGGATCTGGGTTTCATAGGCAGGTGTGACCAAGACCTTAGCATGAACCCTTCCATCGAATCATCCGCCTTGGTCGGAAACATTCAATAATTCGAAAGAGCTCCTCCCCTTCCTCTAGCCCATCCTCGATCTTTCAGTAGCACGCAGCATGGCTGTTGTTGCTGTGGGGGTCATGGGGTTGCGCCATCCTCACAGTGGTCCCTGTACTTGAGCCATCGTTGCAGCCACTCTGTCAGCCCCTCTTGTTGAGGGCCTTCCTGGTCGGTCTTTGCTTTTAGGCTTGAGCATCAATATTTGGGAAACATTTCGGGCTGCATGGGTAGATTCTGTGTGTGTCAGTGTGTGTCCGTAGGGTGATAGGGGTACCCGTTCTGTATTCTAGAGCTTCACTTTGCAAAATATCGATGAAGCCAGTGTAGATGGCTGCACCCCAAGCTGGCAAGCCTCCTTGTGGTCTTGACTAATGATCCAACCCGAAAATACATTCTACTCCCCTCTTTAAGTGACAGGTCTGCCTTCTCTATCGAACCTCTTCCTCTCCTGCCTGGCATCCCGGGCAGCTACAAGTCAAGCAGGACTTTGAATGGGCTCTTCCCAGTTCAGTCATGGCAGAAAAATTGTACCCAGAACCATCCCAACTTTGCAAAATGTGCATGTATTGGAAGGATAGCCCAGTGGGAAAAATGATGGTCAACAGCCTGCTAGAAAAGTACTCTCCCTCTTAGAGACGAAACAACGTGTGCGTGGCACAGCAATTGACGCTTTTGACCAGAGAGCTGTAAACCACAGTGCCTGGCTCCCAGAGGGCGCCCAGCCATGCCGCTCTGAAGGTGTGCCACACGCTCTCCACAGCCTGTACCACATCTCAGTGTGTGCATCCCACCCCTGAAAGGGTTCACCGCGACCCTGCCAAGTCTCCCATTCCAAGGCTTCAGTTGTCACTGCTGGCATTCTGGTTCACTGTTCTGGTACGCCCACATGTGATACATTTCACAATTTCAGCTCATCTGATCTTGTGTCGGGTGCCACCGAACCAACCCCAGCCAGTTTGAGAGCCCCACCTCCCAGGCTCCAGGCACACAGACCACCGAGGGTCTGTGAAGCCTTGCTGAGAGGCCACCCCTCTCCCTTCCCCTCATCTTAGCCCAGAGATTCCCTGGATGGCATAAACCTGCCGCTGTCTATTTTATTTCCATTGACAGTGGCCCTAGGATCCCTGATGGCAGAGTGGTTATGTGTTGGGCTGGGAACACAAGGTCAGCAGTTCAAACTACCATTCCCTCCACAGGAGAGAGACATGGCTTCTTACTCCCGTAAAGAGTTACCGCCTTGGAAACCCATAGGGAAGTTCGAGTTTGTCCTATGGGGTCACTGTGAATCGGAATTGAATCGATGCCAGTGGGTTTTGTTTGTACAAGGCCGCCAATCTTTACAGACCCAGACTGCCATGTAATTCTTCCGGGGACTGGCTGGTGCCTTTGCACCACTATCCTTACAGCATGCCACTGAGTGCTTTCACCTGGGTTCTGCTGGGGGCCATGCCCACTGCCAGTGAGCTGATTTTGACCCATAGCTGCCCTCTGAATCCTCATGGGAGAAGGTAGCCTCATCTTTGTGTGGAGGAGCAAGCAGCTGGCAGGTTTAAACTCAGAACTTACCCGACAGGACTGCTGGGAATCCATTCCAGATTCCACGCTGACCCAGAAAGGTGGTTAATGGAATAAAGGTGAAGGCGGCAGAGGGAGGGTGATGCGGGCCAGATAAATTTTTAATGGCTTGTTTTCTGAGTTGCCTTTGGATTTTGTGCAAACCACAAGGTCAGCAGTTCAAGCCCACCTACCTTTCCATGAGAGGAGGGTACAGCTTTCTGTGCCTGTAAAGATGAACAGCCTCAGAAACCCACAAGGGCAGCTCTATTTGCCCTGTAGGCTCACGAGGAGTTGGTATCCATTCAGGAGCAGTGGGTTTTGTTTGTTTCGCTGGAAGGGACTGATGGAGCCCTGGGGGGCTCTGTGGACCGGCTGCCAACCAAAGGGTTGGTGGTCCAAGCCCACCAGCCGCTCTGTGGGAGGCAGAGCTTGGTGATCGGCTCAGGCCAAGGTTGCAGGTCAGCCTGCAGTGCAGCTCTTCTCTATCCTCTGTGGTTGCTAGGCTTTGCGGGGATGGCGTATAACAATACGGCCATCATCCTCTCTGCTCCTTTCAAGCACCCATGATGGACTCAGTACCAGCTGGCTTGTTTGTGACTAAGCATTTGGGCGGCCATGCAGGAGGGGCAGTGGGAAGAGAAGGGATCTGGGCTGTGGCAGGATTGGGGCACCTCTGGCAAGCTGCTCGCCTCTGAGCCTCATCGTTCTCACCTGCTGAATGGTGCGTTTTGTTCCCTGTGAAGTTTCAGGAGGGTTAGAGGAGATGAGATACACCTGAAGAAAATGCCAACAGCATTCCTAGGCCATAAAGATAAGGGCGAGGCAGAGTAGGCTGGCTTAATTTCCTTTCAGTTTGTGGACCTTCTCTGCTGAGGGCATGTCATCCCCAGGGGGCTGGAGAAGGAGGAAGCCAGATTCCCGTTAGGACTCCATCCTCGTGGTCAGCCATGTATTTTCTGGGAACCGTGTCTGTGGATCGCCGAACATGTGCCAGCACTCAGGCTGCTCTGACCCAGATTCCCAGAGGGGGTGTGCTTGGGGTGAGCTGAATCGTTGTGTAATTGTCTGTAGCTCATTGATTTCCCTTCTTGTGCCCTAACTCTTTCTCCCCCACCACCCCCACTCCCAGGCCGAAAAATAACAAATGAAAGCAATTTCAATCCAGTCTTCTTTTGCCCCAGAGGCCGGTGTTGCAAGTCGTTGGGTGGGTTATTCAGTTGCGGCTTTCGTTAGGTTTGCTATGAGGTGGGCTTGAACTATCGAAAGTCCGTGTTAGACACTTGGATACTATCTGGTGGCAGTGTTTAAAGGACCCTGGGTGTTTGGGCAAAGGAGACTGCAGGCTGAACGTGGCACATCTGAAGATGCTGGTCGGAGGGTTATCACCCAGCTGGGTACGTAGCTGTTCCTTGGAAGGCAAAGGAAATTGCTCAGAACTGGAGGGTGATAGTCCCAAACCCAAACCCTGTGATCTCTGGGCTCATTCTGACCCCTGGCCGTGCTGTAGGACAGGGTAGAACTGTCCTGTTAGGTTTTCAGCTCACAGTGACCTTATAAGACAGTAGAGTGACTCCACGGGTTTGTATTGAAGCTATCCATTGCTATGGGAGCAGACAGCTTAATCTTTCTCCCTTGGAGCACATGATGGGTTTGAACCGCTGTCCTGGTGGTTAGCAGCCCAATGTATAACCCACTGCGCCATGCCACCAGGGATCCTAAGATCCTCAAGCACACTATTAATGGGAAGAAAGAACTACGATGGGGCAAATCAAAGGGGCAGCGCCTGTATGTTTGTGTGTATGTTTGCATGTGTGATAACTCATGCTGAAAAGCGTGTATTTCTCTCCATTTAAGAAAGGGCATCTGCTACTGGAAGTAACTGGTTGCACTGACCCTGTTTCCATTCCAAATATGGAGAACTCAGGAGTTACTGCAGGGCATCCGTTTGGATGGAGAATGTGACTTTATCCACCGCTATCCTGGAAACAAATGTTGGATGATTGTGGAGCTTAGAAAGATGCCTTTTGTTTCACGGTATGCTCTCAGAATAGCCACGGACTCTGATTTCGCCTGAAGCATCAGCCAACACCTGCGGCTTGCTTATCCTTCTGTTACTGCAGGCTGCAACAGAGGCAGCCGCGTTTGCTGCAGAAGACCCACACAGAGCATGGCAGTCTGTAGTGGTAGCCTCTGTTGGCGCAGGGCCAGGGTTTTAAGTGTTACAGGCATTAAGCACTGTCTAAGGACGTTACTTTGCCCGTCCACACAGCCATGTGCCAGGAACCTCGAGGGCTGCTGGAGACTTCCCAGAAGATCCCACCCCCACCCCCCTAGGAAACTTCACAAAGGAGAGAGACAGGTGTTTCCTACTTGGCAAGCATAATTGAAATCAGGAGGCATCATCAACTCACAAGGAGCTTCAGGTGGAAAGGGAGATGCGCGGACGGCTAGAGGGGGCCTTCAGACCTGGTTGAATCCTTTAGCCACTTTCTCTTCTCCTGCCCTTAGGACAGGGAGGTGATGGCGGTGGGTCAGCGGGGGAGAGTGCCAACATGCCGGGAGATTTGGAAAGATCCCTCTTGTAGCAGAGAGCTTACATCAGAACAGGCTATGAGATGGGCAGACGACCCAGGGAGACCAGGCGGGAACGGCCAGGTCTGAGGTCAGAGAAGTGGCTGTGGAAAGCCGAGGAAGAGTGAGACAAGGTGGTTGGTTTTGGCAAAGGCTAGACTTAGCAGGAGAAGGGAAACCTGAGGGGACACAGTTCCGCCTCTCCTGTCCCAGCCACCAGCCTGCCCACCAGGGGATTCGAGACCCGAACACAGGACAGATCAGAACTGCACCATGGAGTTCCGGACACGGCACACCCTTTCAGGGGCATAGAGCCCCTCTTTTTCCCCCAGCAGCAGATCACCTGGTGGGCTTGAACTTCCAACTTTAAGGCCAGTGCTTAGTCCTCCAGGAGACCTGTTCTTCCATCAGCCTTGAAATGTACTCTAATCTTAGGCCTCTGGTCCGTAGGGAGGGATGCGCGACAGTTAATTTCGTAGTGCAGAATCAGTGGGAGCATTGGAATAAAATCGAATTTCAGCCACATTAGGCCTCTCTGGATTAGATGACAACACCACAAGACTGAGGTTCTCAGACTTTACAAGACCAGGCAAGTCTTGGTCTGTACCCCTGCAGCGCCCCTGTAATACCCCCCACGGTCCACAGTGTATTGAGTCTGCAGTGGGGGTGCTGAGTTCCCGATGCAGGGAGAGGAACAGAGTGGACAAAGTCCCTGTGCTCACACATCTCTTCTATTGGCCATCCACCTGCGTAGGTGGGGCAAATGACAACATGGCTCAGTGGTGGTCAAGTCCAGAGCTGTTGGGAGAGCAGACACAGAGACCTTCTGTAGGCTAGGGGTGGGGGGCGGGGGGGTTGGCCTATGGGGAAATGGATTTTTATGTGGCCCCTCAGGCCATCATGGTTTCTGGCCTCTGCACAGTGTTGGAGCCTCCTGGCTTGTCTGCGGACAGTATGACCTCACCACTGCCCCCCTCGCTGCCCCTTTCTCCCCTTTGGTTCACTGTGCTTGAAGCGCACCTGCCTGGTGCAACGACATCAATCTTCCCAGTGATTTTGGACCTGCCTGGGGCATGGTCAGCAGTATCCTTCCACTCTGGTCATTGCCCAAATGTCTGCTCTGTAGGGGTTCCCTCTTTCAAAAATGGTGAAACGCCTGTCTTATTTTTCTCCCCAGCATGTTCCACTAGGTGACCTTGTGCTCGACCCTTGTTTTCTGTCTGCCTTCCCCACAAGTTCCAAGATAGTGGGGCCTTTTCCTGTGCCCACTGCGCTATACCTGGCATCTGAGCCGAGACCCCACACTGAGATGCTTACCAGAGACCTGTGTGAATGAAGCAGTGGAGAATATGTGCAAACGTGGGAGAAGCAGCCCTGGGTCAGATGTGACGTGTTGAGACTTTAAGCGGTTTTTCATTTTGTCCTAGGGGCCATGAGGACCAATGAAAGGGTTTTAAGCCTACGTGACAAGACAAGGGGACTTTTGGAAAGCTTGTTAGACTTGGGAGAAGGAGATGCCGGGGTCAGGCCAAGGCCCCTGGGAATTGGCTGGGTGGAGCTGGCCTTTGTGGAGAAGCACAGATTTGAGATGGTGTGTGCGTCGTAAGCTTGGGCTCAGTGTTGTTTGTGTTAAGTGTGCAATACCTGGGCAGCATCCAGCGGAGTGTGATAAGTAGGGGTGACGTGTGCAGGGCTGAAATGCCACTAGATGGAAAGTGCGCCTTTTCCCCATGGGCCCCGTGGGGCTGCTGTCCACATCGTGCGGCTGAACGCTTAGTGGTTCTGGCTGCCTGCTCCTGGGAAAAGCATCCTTGGAGCGATGGCTTCCGAGCCTTTCCACATTGCACAGGCCACCAGAGCCACCGTTCTTCCTCTGGGTGGGGAGGCGTCCTGTGTGCCTTCTAACTGATGTACTCCTTGCTACCTGCCTGCTCTCCAGTTCCTGGCGGGATGACCTCGAACAGAGAAGCTTTGCAAGGTCTACTTCACCCTAGAAAACGAATGATTCCTCCCTCCAAGTTCAGGGGTAGCCTCCTTGCCCTTGTGTGAGAGGCTGGGTTTGATTCCTGGCCAGTGTACTTCACACCACTGTCATCTGCCGGTGGAGGTTTGTGTGTTGCGATGGCGCCGAAGAGGCTGTAGGGAAGCTTCCAGAAGAAGGTGGAGCAGGGACGAGGGTCTGGTGATCGACCTCTGAGAATCAGCCTGCTGAGGACTAGGGTCTGGTCTGTCGCCTCTGGCACCTGGTGCAGGGCCCAGTGACAGTTTGCTAGTTGTGCATGGGGTCAGAATGGTGGCGGGGCACCTCAATGGCACCTGGCCGGTGGCGGAGTGGGCTAGTACAAACCAAGCAGCTAACCACAGTCAGCAGTTTGAGCCCCCAGCTGCTCTTCTGGAGAAAGATGAGGCTGTCTACTCCTATGTCATTGACTTCAGGGGTGGGGGACCCTCTGTTCTGGACCCCATCATTCAGGGGCCATACTGGTCACACATCTAATTAATTCAGCTAGACGGGGATGTCGGGGACGGTTTCTCTTTGGTGACGTGGTGATGTTGGCTGCTGTTGGTGATTTCTCTGGCCTGATACTCACTGGCTGGATGTTCCCCACCCTGGCTTAACAGGCTGCTTTCAAGTTAGGGGAAATGTTGACTTTTTATTTTATTTATTTAATAATAAACTCTATTGGGGGCTCTTACAACGATCCCTACATCCATTGTATCAAACACATTTGTATATATGTTGCCATTATCCTTTTCTTTCTATTTCAGTCCTTGGTATCAGCTCCTCTTTTCCCCATCCTCGTGAACCCTTGATACATTATAAATTATTTCAGATCTAACACCATCCACTGTTGCCCTTCACCCATGTTTCTGTTGTTCATCTCCCTGGGGGGTGGTGGTGGTGGTGGTGGTTCTATGTCTATCGTTGCGATCGTTTACAACACCCCCCTCCCCGCCCCACCTTTCCCCTACCACCATGGTATCGGTACTCTCATAACTATTCCTGAGGGGTTTATCTGTCCTGGATTCCGTGTGTGGAGAGCTCGTATGTACATGCTCCCGGTCGAGCCGGATTTGTAAGGCAGGACTGGGGTGGTGATAGTGGGCTGTGGCGGAAGCATTTGCCTTCTCAAGTTGAGAGTGGGCAAATCCGGCCGGAGGAGCGGTTTACTTTCCGGTGGTTGTTTAGCACGGTTTCGATCTCATGGGGAACGAGCGCATGCCTTATCAGGTTGCTCCAGCCTGATGGATGGTCTCTGAAGGCCAAAGGGGCCCTTCTCTGCCCTGTAGAATCGCTGTCAAGGGTGGGGAGGGAGCAAGGGCAGTCAGAGACCCCCGCCGCATCGTGCTGGCACGTGCCTGGGTAAGAACCAGCCTGTGGCTCCCGTCCTCCTGCCCCCCCACCCCCCACGAGTGAGCGTCTCAGCCCGGCGACCCTCCCCGTGACTGACGGCGGTCTGCTCTCTTTGCAGGACATCAACCAGAAGCTCCAGCAGGACAACCAGGAACTCAGGGACCTGTGCTGCTTCCTGGACGACGACCGGCAGAAAGGCAAGCGGGCGTCGCGCGAGTGGCAGAGACTGGGCCGCTACACGGCCGGGGTGATGCACAAGGAGGTGGCCGTGTACCTGCAGAAGCTCCGCGAGCTCGAGGCCAAGCAGGAGGAGGTGGTGAAGGAGAACCTGGAGCTCAAGGAGCTGTGCGTGCTGCTGGACGAGGAGAAGGGCGCGGGCAGCCGCTGCTCTATCGACAGCCAGGCCAGCCTGGGCCCGCCCGCCGCCTCGCCGGCGCCCTATGCGCGGGACGTGGGCGATGGCAGCAGCACCTCCAGCGCGGGCAGCACCGACAGCCCTGACCACCACAAGCCCCCCGCGGGCGGCGGCAGCCCCGAGCACCTGCAGAAGCCGCGTGCCGAGGGCAGCCCGGAGCACCTGCCCAAACCCAGGGCCTCGGGGACCCTGGAGCACCCCAAAGCCCTCAAAGGACCCAGTCCGGAGCACCACAAACCCTTGTGCAAGGGCAGCCCGGAGCCGCAGAGGCACCCCCACGCCGGGGGCAGCCCTGAGACGCTGCCCAAGCAGAAGCGCAGGCCGGGGGGCAGCCCCGAGCACGGCCGGCCCAGCGGGGGCAGCCCCGAGCGGCTGCAGAAGCCAGGCCTAGGGGGCAGCCTGGAGCACCTCCCCCGGGCCAGGGGCACCAGCCCCGAGCACCTCAAGCAGCAGTACGCTGGGAGCACCGATCACAAGCACGTGGCAGGCGGCTCTGGCGGCGGCGGCGGCAGCAGGGAGGGCACCCTCCGCAGGCAGCCCCCTGACGACGCGTCCCCGCACCACCGGACGGTCTACAGTGGCATGAATGGTGGGTCAGGCCGTGCCGGGCAGCCGCCTTGGCTAGACAGCAGTGGTTCTCAACCTTCCTGAGGCCGCGCGACCCTTTCATATAGTTCCTCGTGGTGGTGACCACCCCAGAACCATAAAAATTATTTTTGTGGCTATTTCGTAACTATAATTTTGCTACTATTATGAATCGGGCCACCCCAGTGAAAAGGTCGTTTGACCCAAAAAGGGGTCGCGACCCACAGGATGAGAACCGCTGCTGTAGTCTAGACAGCTGGGGATGGAGAGGGCTTTCTATTCGAGGTAGACGGGCTGGATGGCGGGGTAGTGGGTAAGAGGGGGGAAAATGTTGACCCCCCCCCAACAAAAACCATGGTTCCTCTTCCTGCCTGGATTAGTTTTCAGCGTCGAGTTATCAGTGAGTGTGGAGAAGGGTGGGGCGAAAGGGTGGGGCGAGGGGCCGGAGGAGGACCAGCACCAAGGCCTCCGGAGGCCCGGGGAGATGTTGGGGTGTGATCTGTGCATATGGAAGATGAAGGTTGAACTGTTCAGGCGCTTCTATTTCTTTCTTTTTTAAAAATAATTTTATTGGGGACTCTTACAACTCTTGTTACAAACCATACATCAATTGTATCCGACGTATTCGTACATATATTCCATCAGTCTTTTCTAGACATTAACTTTCCATTGAGCCCTTGGGATCAGCTCCTCTTTTTCCCCCTCTCTCCTCCCCATCCCCCAACCCTCGTGGCCCCTTGATAGATTATAGATTGTTAATTATTTTCAAATCTCACATTGACCATTATCTCACTTCCCCTGTTTTTTGTTGGTCTTCCCCGGATGAGGGTGTGTGATTATGTGCCATTCATTGCGATTGGTGTCCCCCTCCATCCCCACCTCTCCCCACTTCCCTCTATCCTTTTGTTATCTGTTACCATTCTTTGTGAGTTTTATCTCTTGTCTATACCTATGTACATGCTCCCGTCTAGTCTAGATTGGGAAGCAGCACTGGGGTCATGATGGGGGGTGGGGGGTAGGAGTGGTGAGGAGGCTTCAAGGGATCAGAGGTATATTGCACGAGGTCTACTGCACCCTGATTGACTCCCCTCCCCGCACCCTATGACCCCTCTGTGGGGGGATGTTTCATTGTCCATAGATGGACTTTGAGTCTCTGCTCCACCCACCTCCTTTCTTACAAGTGCCTTTTTGTTTGTTTACTGTTTGTTGTGAATCTTCTGACGCCCCGTTGCCCAGTCTCGATGACACCTCAC